TCCTGTTCATTAGCTGGAAGGACACTCTTGTTTTACATCTGGTGCAGTCTACACATAACCTACAGCACAGCTCGTCCAAGTGGAGTCAGTCAACTGCTGTGCAGAGTGAGTGTGGCAGAAAATGAAACATGATATTGTCTCCTCACCCCTGCGTGCGGGTTGTGTATGGTGTTTATAAGATAAGGGTAGTTTGTCTCAAGCACTTTTGCAGCCTGTTACATGTAGCCAGAACTACACAGCTTTGATTGAATGAGCACAGTCCACCTCATCCTCAGGTTTACAAAGGATAGTGCTACCTGGAGCGTTGGACAAATGGGAATCCACACAAACATATGCACTGACACGTTCTCAGGGCTGGCCTATCCCCGTGGGAAGAGGCTGAACCATGGTGACACACTCTATAGGAGCATGTGATCTTAATCTAAAGTTGGCAAACATACACACACACACACACACACAGTCCAGCTGATTAAAAGTCAAGTGGGGAGTTGTTTAAGTGAATCTGTGAATTGTTAGAAACCAGAGAGGCTGAGACTTGCAGGGACATTTGTTAGAAATGGTATTTTCCTATATCATGTGACATCATCCCTGGATGATGTCATTGTGTTGATGTCCGTTCCTCCCTCTGACATGCGAGTCTTTGGGATCCGCTAACGTACGACCCTCATGTCGGAGGCGGAGGAATCTGCCACTGAATTATCTTTCCTGTGAATTCCCGTTGTTTCTTTGCATACTAATGGTGTTGTTCTACCTTTTCTATGTTTTCTTAGCAAGTTTTAACTTGCCGCTGATTCGTCATTTCTCATTCTTTCCATGGTTTTGGGAACACAACTGGAGCGTGACAAGTTGTATATAACTCAAAATATCCCATTAGCTAGGTGTGGTTGATACTTGACTGAATGCTCATAGATGGTTACTTGCTATGTTTATTTAGCGAATGATACTTCATGGTACTGCTTCGTACTCACATGCTACCATTCCCAGACAGCTGGAGAAAATCATGGGCATGGATTAAGTAAAAATAACTGAACTCATTCTTTAGATATTTTTCATGCTGGCAGTATGAGTAGTCTGTCATAACAGGCTTGCTGTGTAACACCAGTAGAAATGTTTCCTTATCTGTAAATGCCTGTTGGAAAAGGTATTTCTTGTCTTTTTTTTTTTCTCTCTAATTTCTTCATGTGGGCTGTCATTCATTCTTGAGCAAGTCAGAAATTATTTTGTAGCCTCTTGCAAATGATTTACTACAGTTGTACCATACAACAGATGATACTGTTTATACACACTTATGATGAAGCTGCATTCTGTTGATCTTTATTGAATTATTCTCCATGTTCTAAACCAAATCAGCCTTAAACCCAAGGGACTGCCAAGTAATTTGACCTTCCTAAATGGACCGCTGGAACATTCTTAGTTTAAAATTCTTATGTTTAAAGAGACATTTTGTTACTGTAGGTGTGCCACAGTAAATCAGAGTGCTGGTGGTCTTCTTTGATCTGCTTATTTTGAAATTGCTTAACTAGAGGCTGTTTGCTATAAGGTAAATGTGACCAAGCCAAAGTTTATACTAATTTTGCAGTCTTGCTTGGAAGAACTGGGGGGAAATGAAGTTGGTACAAAAGTTTCAGGCCAGATTTAACAATATATTCTAAACATGTTGCGGTTCTCATGAAATGGTCTTGCTTTGAGCATCTGGCCTCTAGATCGGTTGAGATCGATGCTGTCTGTAACGCCCATTGTTGTTTACCTGAGAAAAACAAATCTTAATTTGTCTTAATATTAATATTGATATTGTTTAATGTATGCATAACTTAACCTATAGATGGAGTTGAAGTTTTGGTATCAGTATAGTTACACATGTTGTTAAAATCCTAAACGCTCCACGTAAATGCCTTAGATAGAACTTTATTGATTACATACATACGTCCCTAGTGTCTTCATATAGTTATCTTGCCCCTGGAGAGTACAATGTACAGGATGTCCCCATTAGTTTTCGTTGGGCATCCAAACAACTGCCTGTCTGCCTTGATAGAGTGTGGTCAGCAGCAGTCTCTCTGCCACTTGAGCACTCTATCCATTAGACAAATTCCTTGCTATTTCATTATCTAAGTGGGTGGGTCCCACCCCCTACCCACCACCCCACTGAACCACAGGCTAGATTGCCAGTATACTCTGTCTCAAGAGGACTGAATCAGGCATTCTATCCAAGCTTCAAATATTTGATGCATCCAATTGAAAAAAAAATATGTTGGCAGAATGTAAATGCACACCCCTATTAGCATAAAGATATTATAGAAATTGTGTATTTGAGAGAGCCTGCGCAAAAGAAGTGTCAAGAACAATATGGCCAGCCCTGTCTAACCATTCCTCGGCTGTGTAGTGGAAACTAGGCTATTGACTGAGCTGGTGTCAGGTTTCTATGCTGCTGCCATTCCTGTCGCAGAAACCCAGGGTCTCGCATTGATTTTATAAACCACAACTCTAGGACAGCATTCAGGGCTTTCAAGACCATAATGGATATTTTGGCCAAGGCTTGTGACATAATAGGTCTATGCCTGCAATGCCTTTGATTTCGCTGGAAATACTCGCTGTAATGCTATGAGACGCTCTGAGCTCCAGGAATAGACTGGCTTCTTGGTCCGCCGTTGACTGTGATTGGGTAAAGACTGCAGGACGGAGATAAGTAAGTTTGAAAATTACATTCTGTCCCTGCGCAGGCAGAGTAAGAAGTCTCATTACGGCAGCTCAGCTATATCAAGTCAAATGACAGAACTTAGGATGTGGTATTTGTGTCATCCACTGGGCACAGTATGTGTACACATGTATACACAGTAAATATGATCTGCCGTTTGTAAACATGGGCAGCAAGACACAGTGATCTTGACAGGAATCATGCTTTACTTTATTCTTTTTATTTTTCCAAATAGCTGGGTGTAGAGTGTTATAAGCTGACAGAAAGGTAGAACAGAGCACCATTAATACATGAGGTCAATAAAACGAATGGAAGACTGTTTGAACAGAGGAAAAGGATATAGATTACTAACCCCTTTGAGGATGCAGGACGATTGGAAAGCACTATTGATTGCTGTCATCTGATGTCATCGGGTGTCGCTCCCAACAGCTTAACAGCTGGTGTATCTGTTGCTTTTTCATTAGTAGCCCAAGTACACTAAGTGCTGCACAATCAATTTTTAAAAATTCTGTTGGTTAACCAGTTCCCTTGATTCATTTTAAAGTCTACAGTTGTGCTGTGGACTATGCTGCAAATCAATGAGCAGCATTGCCTGCGGCAATATAGTCACCAGATGCCAGCACCTTTGGTTACGCAGCAGTGTTTGGCAGCCTGAAAATGAGTAGTAGTAGTATCATTTATTGTGTTAATGTATGTTTATTGGTCATGTATTTAATTCACTGAATTAGCCAGAGGCGTATATGTTTGTTTGTTTTGTAACAAAATGGTTTTCCAAAAGCATTTTCAGAAAATGTGCAATGTCCTGATAATTGTTCCTGAGTGTATAATTGCAGACAACAGGTCTTTAGGTCTAGAATCACATTATTTTAATAGGAAAATAAATCATCACACGTGTTAAAAAGATGAATGCAATAAATACAATCAATTTTGAAATGACTGATTCTTTAACAATTTTGTACTGTTTTTATTGCGGGATCAAGACAATGACATAGTATAATAAATATAATAAAATGTATTTACTTGTCTACATTTTTGATTTCTATTTTTAGGTGCATAGTTGTGGTGAAAGAGACATCCGTTTCCTTTCCTTTCATCTCTTCCTCTGTAATCACATAAACTTTAATCAGTGATCTGAACACTGTGCAGTAAGACAAGGTTGCTGTCCTTTGTATAACGCAATTTCTACTTTTCTTGAAGTGAATTGCAAAACCCTTTAAGGATCACTTGAGAAATTGCCTTGCAAACGTAATCAAAAAGCAAGGAAAGTTGGCAGTGACTTTTTTTGCAGATAGAAGTGGAAGAAAGCCAAATGCTCTCAAAGACAGTTTGTTTGGACAGACTGTGATAGTTTCCCTTTTGATTTATTGTTGAGGCTATGCAGAAAAGCAGTGTATCCACTGTTGTGCACGAAGTTGCCAGGAAAGACTTGATGCAACGGCAAACAAAAACACCCCAGTTTCTGATGCTGGGCATTCTCTGCTATGTTTAATCTCTTTTTTTTTTTGTTAGTTGAGAATTGAGCTTGGATGAATCTTTTCACCCTGCCACTATATTTAAACTCTGTTTAAATATAGGCAAAGCTTTATTTTGACAATATCAAAATGAATTCATCCTTGGATAGGCTGAATGCTTTACAGAATTATTTAAAAAAATAATAATTTTAACATGGGCTGCGAGGTGGCTCGGTGGTTAGCACCGCTGCCTCGCAGCACGGACACCCGGGATCTTTCTGTGTGGTGTTTGCATGTTCGTCCCGTGCAGTGTGGGTTCTTTCTGGGGTTCTCTGGCTTCCTCCCACACAGTCCAAAAACATGTTGAGGTTAAATGGTGATTCTAAATTGTCCGTAGGTGTGAATGTGAGTGTGCTTGGTTGTCTGTCTCTAAGTGTAACCCTGTGATGGACTGGTGACCTGTCCAGGGTGTCGCCTGCCTTCACCCTGAATCAGCTGGGATAGACTCCAGCCCCCCATGACCCTAGTGAGGATTAAGCGGTGTATAGATAATGGATGGATGGATTCACTTTCATCATTGAGTCAGAGACCAACATCTTTAACTGTAATGATGGAAGTGCACCTAAAATTTTGTTTGCTAACATTATTTTCTTTCGTGTTTTTAAGGTTGTTTATTACTATATTTATGAACACGTGAGACGTGTTAACAAAAGTCTTTTTTTTCTTCTTTTCTTAGAAAGAGGAGGAGTAGAGGCTACATATAGGCTCCCTTTAAACTTGCGCAGTGATAGCATGTCAAACATGTTTTTAAATGGCATTGAATTGTGTTTATAACATTCTGATTTTCTGATCTCCAGCACTTTGACAGGATGGCATCACAGGATTCGGAGGAGCCTCCTCCATATGAAGGCCAAACAGATAGTCGTTTGAAGAGTAAGAAGCCGCCCAGCCTCGTGATAGCCATCCCTCCACCTGAGCAGATGATGTCCCAGGGCCCCGAAAGACAGGTAGGCTGGTTGTTTCGACCTGTTTCACTGCTTTGTGGAAGAGATAGTCGCTGACTACATCACAGTGTACAGTGCTTTCCTATGCATGTTGAGGCAATGGAAAGTTTCAAAACATAATTTTATAGCACATACCTTTAACGCTGACACATGGCACCAATAGACTGCAAACTCTATTATATAATATTTACTGTCAGAAATCATTATTACCAACAAGGACATTTTGTCATTTCAATTAATTTGTTGGTGTACAGCAGCCGCTGATATTAACCTTGATGCCGACATTGTGTGTGGTAAAGTTGGCGGGATTGTCTCTATGGATTTAAATGACTGACGCTGAGCCCATCCCTAAAATTTGGCACTCGTTCAAAGAGTAATTGTCTAGAATTGTAAGAAATTTTCTCTCCAAGCTTAAGGCAAGGATGTGCAGTATAAACTCTTTTTAACTTACAAATTGCCACCGGCTTTTGCCATCTGATTTTACAGTTTTAGATCTTTTGGATTTCAGCTAGTCGCATTTGTCCACGTGCTTGATCATCACCATCAATAATCTGTTTTGGTGTCACTGCAACCGGCGCAGGCAGCTGCTGTGTTAACCACAGGGGTGGAAAGCAGCACTTTTTCTAACTTTGGTGGACTGTGGTATTTCCACTTAAACATGTGGTCTTCTCATGAAATTCTGACACCAGAACGCCCCAGTTTGACTCTTTTCAAAGTATTTTTCAGTCACACGCCTGTCTGAGCACACCACAGCCACCAAGCAGCAGCAGGGAACATCCGTAAATTGTAGCGTCTATCGATAAGCAGATGTTCAACAAGTGATGTGTTTTGCTTGTGACCAGGTGGGAAGTGAAAAAGTTGACCTGGAGCCCTGGTGATCCTTTCAGTTAAATCCCACCACAATGTTTGAAAGATTATAGCAGCCTGTTTTAAATGTCAGTAAAGTGAATGCAGCATCATTGTGGGGAGTGTAGTTTAAGTTTAGTTTTGTCAAAAATAATTGCAAGCAAAACTTTTTTTTTTTTAACATTTTCAAAGCCGTGAATGAAACCGATTTGTTTTACTTGGGCTGAAGACTGGTATAGTGCAGTACTTTGAAATGAGATGTCATGCTTACTAGTCATTTGACACTGACTCAACTTATACAGGGGCAAAAAGAAAGACTTTGGGCAGTACTTTATTTTTGAAAGCACTTAACACATTAATGGGGCAGCACGGTATTTCTCAGTGCCTCTGAATTTGCCAGTTGCTGAGGCAAAGAGGCATTTTGAACAGCTGTCTGGCAGTTTGTGGACACAAGGCCATACATTATCCCTCTGTGGGCCCCTTACTTTGGATACAAACAGTGGCATTTCAGCAACACAAAGTAGTCGGTTGTCAGCGTTCAATCGAGCGTGCTACAGTTAAACTTTTCCTAAACGGCAAGCAGTGTAATGAACATGCAAATATCGTGCAAGTCAGGTATTTGCACTGTGTGACTTACTGATTTTTCCATTACTAAGACAACCGAAAATAGTTCTAAATGTGCACATAAACGCTGCTTCATGTACTGTAGTTAATACTGAAACCACTTTTGTGTACATTTAGAAACTCGAGTTCTACCATTTCACATTGAGTTTTGAATTAAGAAGAATCTGGATAAAGTGTTCAAAATCCTCGAATTTACACGTGCAGCCTTTGTTTTCTCTAATAACATGTCTACAGTGCCAGAAACAGAGGCCGTGTAAACGCCTGTCCTAACAAGCCTCAGCCTGAACATATGGCTCACTTACAACTCACTTCGAGCCCCATTAGCTCTCAGAATGACAATACCATTAGCCTCGCCAAATGCAGAGTCGCTGCAGGTTAGGCTAATGGGCTCTCTGAGGAATCACTACACCACACCTAACAGAAGAACACTCAACAGCATACACAAGTGGGTGCTTAGGAGATCAGGTGGATGGGGTGTTTTTGTTCTGGACCTTGTAGCAGTATGGGACCAGACAAAATATTGACTGAAAGCAGTTGTGACCACATTAATTGAGCACTTAATCCAAATATCTCAGTACAAGGATTTAATCTTGCCACTAATTCAAATTAACAGCGTACTTTTATACAGTCTTATAATCTGATTGTCATTTTATGTGAGATGTTGTTTAGGTTCCTGAGGCCTCTGCAGTAATTCACTTTTATTCAGCTTATTACAGTTAAGGGCTGTAGAGCTTTATAGGTCTATATGTGATCTCACAGTAGTTTGATACGTCTCTTCTGCTTTGCTGTTCCCACTTTATGCAGGTTATTGTAATATCCACTCGTACACTTAACAGTTTTTCCCTCTGCAGATATTGTTTCATTTGCATTGTTTGTTTCATTGCATCAACAATTCCTGCATTATAACAGCAACATTATTTCTCCTTTTTTTTTGAACAGCCGCTACGACCGTCTTTGAAAAAGAGTATGAGTGGTCAAGCAACCGGTTCTGTGTCAGAGAGCGTCAATGGAGCTGGAGACGGAGGCTTTTCTGCCAGAGAAAGAAGGTCAAAGTTTGGTAGACAGACATCACTGTCACAAAGCATCCGAAGGTAAGCTGGAGAGCAGCAGGTCACAGTCATGTCTGGCAGTTTTTGATAAGACACCTATAATGGTTTACAGCAGTCAGCAACCTCATGAACTCATGGAACTCATGGAAGGACACAGTGAAGTGTTCTTCACCAGATGGCATTATGCGTATATATCAAAGAGCTGTTCCCTACAGGTCATTCACCTTAAGCACTCAGAAAGTAAATGGTTTATTCCCTGCAGTTCACTGACTAAAAAATGTCCTCTTCAGGATCCCTCCAATCAACTGACAGCAGTCAGTTCTTTTGTCAATATTTACCAGCAACATGTCCCAAGAGTCTCATGATTTGACTACAGTGGGGGAAAAAAGACAAGCATGTAATGTTCAGGAATGCACAGTGTTAAAGCATGCGCAGTATTTAGAAATATTAGCTGTATGTTGCAGAATTCCTTCAGTTAAATGTTACAACAGCCTTTCTGTAGTTCAATCAAAATTAAGCAAGCTGTGTCATTGTTGGTTAAGCAGCATTTTGTAAATTCAGAATAGCACAGTTTGTTTGTTTTTTATAATTACTTGTTTAGATAAGTTAAATTATTCTCAGTTTGTTTTTCTTGTTTGTTTGTTTATGTAGCTTAAAACAAAGAAAATGTAAGTGATGCTATTTAGTCAAAGTTTTGTACCATGTTTTGCAGAGATGTTGGCTACTTGGGCATCTCGTATCTCTTGTTGTGTTCAGTGGTTTGCCATCTATGTCAGCACAAACAAAAGATGTTACTAGAAGAGCTGCTGCACACACACTCCTTAAATGTATGTTCTCTGACTATGTTCCTTTAAAGGTCCCATATTGTGTATCTTCTTTTTCAGCAGATGAATCAAAGTCTCACTTGTCCCTGCAGTGTGTTTAACAAAATACTGCCAAGATGGTTCATTTTACCATGACTGTGTAGCCCCTGGTTTTAGGGCTGCTCCCCTTCAGAAAGAACACACTATGAAGGAGGCTAAATACTTCTGGGGGGTACTAAAGGGATGGTAAAAGTAAACATCTTCATAACTTAACAGATTTTGTTTAACGCCTCCAAGTTTATAAGACCTACAAAACGCAATTAATAAAATATTTTCACCATATGGTACCTTTAAGATTATTTTTGTAATATTTGTGACTGTGGCTACCAACTGTTTCCTGTCCCACTAGGAATACAGCCCAGTGGTTTGGGGTGGGTGAAGACTGCGAGACCAAGCAGCAGGTATGGCACAGGAAGAGCCTACGCCACTGCAGCCAACGATACGGCAAACTGAAGGCCCAGTACAGAGAGCCTGAGACAGCCACCAGCATCGACCAGAACTTGGACTCACCAGCTACACATAGGATGCCCAAGGTATGTTACCATTATAGAGACACATGATTACAGTGTGCCTTAAGCTACACACTCCAAACAAGCAAATAATTCACATCCTGAATAAGGTTTTATTCAGCATAGGCTGTTTAGATACATCATTATAATACTGCTACTGTTGTTTAAAAATAAAAAAAATAGTTATGCAAGAAGCAAAAATACAGAGGGTGACACATAACAAGTGCATGTGTAGCTACTTATAATGCCCATTTTTAGTCAAATTCACACACTTAAAAAAAAAACTCCCCTTTTTTTCTTTCAAGATGAGCATCAAGAATAAATAAGACGTAGATTTTTGGGAGAGCGAGGGAAAACAGTAACTGGCTTTGATAAAGTGTGCCTGTATGGAGACATTCCTGCATGGTGGCAGACGTGGACCATCTGTGTCCCAGATGAATCATGTCTCTGTCTTCAGTCGTTGGCAGGCAGCTCTACTCATCTACTCATCATCTAGTGTTACATTTATCTTTTGTTCACTGTCCTGTGCTTACCTTCCTTATCTTGTTTTATTCTGAAATTGGGAGCTCAATGACAAAAATGTCCCATATTTGCACTGTGCTATCATCTTAGTATACATACATACATACATGCATGCATGCACAGACGCATGCAACAAATCTCTTTCAAAATGTCACCACTGTTAACTCAGCACATCTTAAAGTGCATGCAGATGGTGTGATGACAACAGATGTTGACCTAGTAGTGGCTAAGTTCATGTTAGTGTCATGATGTAGCACAAATATTTTTGACGGGCTTACACCAATCTGTGTTTTCGGTAGATTGTGGACCCCCTGGCACGGGGTCGAGCTTTCCGTTGTCCAGATGAGGTGGACAGCCGCTCCCCCAGGACACCTCACACCGCTCACGGGGTTCCTGTCACACCAGGGGTCACCTCACTCAGCTCCTTCACCAGCCAGCGCTCCGGCTACAGTCGCTTCCCCAGGAGAAAGAGAGAGTCCGTGGCCCGCATGAGCATCAGAGCTGCATCCAACCTGCTGAGGGTGAGTAGGTTACCAAAGAACCCATGTGTATGTTGGTTGTGTATTCCAGATGGAAAAGGGATTGTTAATTCTTTGCACGTTTCTTGTTTTTTTTCCCTCCATGGCAACCACCAACTCTCATCACGCTTCAAAATTGTGTTTACTCTGCAGTAAAAGCAGAAACAGATTTCTATGGAATCATGGTGTTGGAAGAACATCACATTTTAAAGTAACCTCATATTGTCTAAAATCTAGACACTGTAGAAATCTATCGTATGCTTTTGTTAATGCAAAAATAATACAAACATGATAGCTAAGTATTTAAACATAATTTAATTATAATTACACCTAGGTGACACAAAGAATGTGTATACTGTAATAATAATAAGCTTTAAACGTTTCTTTAAATTAAGAGATATTACCTGTAGTGCAGAGGTTACATAGACTTTATAAATAAACATGTATTCAGTTCCTTTATTCCAATTTTCTATTATTGTTACCATAATTGTAAGTAGAGCAGAACTGATTAGGAAACTTTGTGCACATGTGAAATCACTTGTCATGTGTTGTGTGTGTTGTCCAGGGCCGTAGTGGTTTGGCAGGCTCACAGACTGGTCGCAGTTTTCCCAGAAGGAGCTTTGCCAGGCCCAGCTGGATGGACGAAGACACTGTGGATTCTGCAGACGCATCTGAGTCCCTGTTCTTCAGCAAGGTCAGCAGCCATTCTCTGTACCAACCTGTCAGTGCTTTGGCAGCAATTGCTGTCTTTGCTTTTGCTTTCTTTGGCAAACTTGGATATTTAAAAAAAAAAAACTTTCTATTCCTTCCTAAGTTTGTCAGTAGCCACACTCTACTTCACTTTATTACATTTTCGTTGCTTATCTGCTTCTTTTATCAGTCTTCGTTCTTCAGAAATTGCTAGCTACTTATTTTTCCATTCTAGATTGCCTTCAGGTGTCCTGTTTTAGTCCACTTCCTAAAGTTGTCCTGCAATAGAAACAAAAATGTGCTCTCTAAACACAAATGATGCCTGACTACACATTCATCTTCAATCTCTGCTGCGTAGGTTGATGTTCATGACGAGTTGTACTCCATGGCTGACGATGTATTTGAATCACCTCCCATGTCGGCCGCTTTTGCTCCGTGCGATCAGACGGACCTGAAGTTCCCCAGCATGTAAGTAAATAAATACACAGTCAGAGAAATGAACACCGTGACAACATCCATGAACTGGAGTCCCTTGATTGTTCCTATAGTTTTCAGTGCTTGTGTTGGAATATCGAATAAACACATTCCTGCTATTAATCATCAACTAACTCAGTGCTTGAAAATCTGACTGCAGCTTAAAGCATGCCGAACAGGTATGGCTATTGGAAGTCAATGAAAAATATGTTTCATCAAAAGCTGTATGAACAAGTTGTACTAAGCTCCACATCTCTGCCTCTTCCACTAGAATTGCCGTATGTGCTTCTTCTCAATTTCTATGCCTCTCTCTGCCATCCTATCTTCCTCCAGTAAGGACATATCTCGGACCCCCAGGACACCAAACATAGTGCCTGAGAAGGGTCATCCTCGTCGTGGTCGTCGCATTGCCTCCCAAGTTAAGCACTTTGCATTTGACAAACAGAAGCGTCAGTATGGTATGGGCGTTGTGGGGAAATGGCTCAACCGACACTATCGACGCAGCCTCAGCAGCAACGTCCAGAAGCAGCTGGACGACTTCGACAGCCACAGGTTGGAGATGAGTAGCAGCTTGTTGGACAGACTTACGAATGGATTATTTAAACACTTGAAATAATTCAGTTGTAGATCTTGGAGAGTAAACCAAACCGGTGAAATCAGTTGCTTGTTTGTTAGTTTTCTCCAAAGAAACTGTCTCCTCTGTAATGTGGTGTTTGACACCTGGACTAACGATATGTATCGCCCTGTCATGACTTGTGCCTGCTTCTGTGTTTGTGTTTTTAGGCCCTACTTTACCTACTGGATTACATTTGTCCATGTAGTTATCACATTGCTGGCCTGCTGCACGTATGGTTTCGCCCCTGTGGGGTTTGCACAACATTCTACGTCTGAACTGGTGAGTTAAACCCCAAATATTTTTTTTTTTTCTCACAAAACAATCAGGGGGGAAATAGCATTAAATATGTCAGTCATCATTTAAGTCACAGTATTTTTTCATCCAAGCAAACACAACTAAAAAATATGCATTTAAGAGACAAACACAATTTGTTTCTAATTTGTTACTCATAAACTAACTTTTAAAATCTTCATATACTCAATCTGTAGCAGCGCTGATAAGCTGTGTGACTCTGTTGCCCTCTGCAGGTGCTGAAGAACAAAGGCATCTATGAGAGTGTCAAGTATATCCAACAGGAGAACTTCTGGATTGGTCCCAGTTCTGTGAGTCTCAGTTTAGCTGCTGTGTTACACAAATTGTTTTTTGTTCTCAACCTAGAATTGCGCTCACATTACATTTTTGTCTTTGTGTATAAAACCTAAGGGAACTGTTTCTTCAAATATTTTAGATGAACAGAGCCAGACTATAAAATACAGACATATGTAGGATACAGGACACTCTGACCTTCAGTTTGTAATCAGATGTATAATTGGGTAAGGCTAAGCGCTTCTTTCTTCATGGTGCGATGTCACACCCTGTTTGCTTGTGACTTTCTCACTTTATATCTTACTTCATTTCCTGTCACATACTGTTTTTCACACCAAGCAGTAACCTATCACTTCTCGTACACTGTTTTAAAAGCGGTTACCTCTATATGTCTTAAAATGTCAAGCAGGTCATTTCTGCTCCCCACAGTCAACACGTAAAGTTCATTTGCCATTGTTAAGTGTTTGTATTGTGAGTCTAACTCGCAGGTTTCTGTATTTAAACAAATAAATAAAATACTGGAATGGCCATTATAACGGACTGCATGAACACATAGTTACAACTTGTTAGAAGACTTGATCTACATCCAAAAAGAATACATGTAAATATTAGAGTTCAATTTAGTTTTTTTTTTCTCTCACCTGAAGATCACTTTGTAGGCATGTGTGGGTTTCCACAACTGTTAATCTTGGCAATAAATTCCTTTATTTTCAGGACGATCTGATCCACTTGGGGGCCAAGTTCTCACCCTGCATCCGTCAGGACACACAGATCGTCAGTCTGATCAAGAGGGCCAAAGACCTTGAACGAGAGTCTGGCTGCTGCGTTCAGAACGACAACTCTGGATGTGTGCAGACTCACAGCTGGGACTGCTCTGTACGTGGTTTGTCCTTTGCGCATTAGTTTGTCAGTGTTTAAAGCTTTAAATGGGATTTCAGAATTTTAAAAAAAAACAACCTTCCAAGTCTTTTTTTAACCAAAAAGACACTGTAATTGAATATGAGAAAAATGAACTTAAAGAGGTTATTGCACACATATGTGTAGCTACAGAGCACAATCAGCGTGCAGTCTTAAACACAGATTTGCACGTGAGTTTATAATCTTTAAGCACATAATCACCTAGAAAGTTAGACTAAACATTTATAAGACATGCGTCTTAACTGTGTTTCCTTGTAGATGCACAGGCTTAATTCACTTTAACTTGTAGTGTCTTCTCTGACAGATTCACCCTGACAATATTAAGTACTGTGAGAAAATTTCTATTTCTTAGTCGGTCTTTTAATCCAGAGATATTTTTACTTGTAAGTTTATCTACTTGTAGCCTAATAAGGTTTGTGAAACAGATGTTGTTACCTTGTTTAAGTAGTTGTAGGTGCTGTATTGTAAATATACGCAATTTATTCTGTTCCGTTTTTTGCGTTGTTCTCTTATAATTTTGTGAAATTGGAAACAGACTCGTATACTAAATACTCAAACAACTTTATGCAGGAGACACTGGCCACCTTTATTAAATGGAATGATGAAAATGTGGACATCACCAGGTCTTCTGGATCTGTCTGTCACCAGGATCCCAGGTGAGAATGTGCATGTGGTTATTGTCCCTCATTAAATGTAGAGCTTTTCTAAGAAACAGCAAGTAAGCGTACACAAGGTCGTCATAATTAAACTTGAAAAACAATATTTTGTGCCAAAACTGACTTATCGTGTTTGTGTATCTTGCATTGTTGAATGCTGTGACCAGAGTGTGTGAAGAGCCTGCCTCTTTAGCGCCTCATACGTGGCCAGACGACATCACCCAGTGGCCGGTGAGGGCAAACTGCTACTATTTTGGAAATGAATTTTGCAGGCTATCATCCCTTTTGTTTCCTTTGCTACTCAGTGTTTGAGGTTTACAAAAAGAATAATGTTTGAGGAACATATTAATATCACAGGTTTGTGTTATTTTTCATTACGTGTCTCTTCCCAGGTCTGCACTTTGCCACAAAAGTGGAACCACACAGGCTACAGGCACATGGACTGTAACATCAAGGGACGGCCTTGCTGCATAGGAACTAAGGGCAGGTGGGAAACATGAGCAGATATCACCTTGGTCCTTGTCCAAGTTTTCAATCATATGCTTGGTAAACTGCCATATCATTGCCAGGTCATTTGGAACAAAATTGAATCACGTTTTGCTTGTTCCTCCTGTAGATGTGAGATCACAACCAGAGAGTATTGCTCTTTCATGCATGGGTACTTCCATGAGGAAGCAACACTTTGCTCACAGGTAGTGTGTGTGTGTGTGTGTGTGTGCATGCATTATGCGTGTATGTGTTGGTGGGTTAGTAAACGTCTGACCACACTGTCCTTACGCAGGTACACTGTCTGGATGATGTGTGCGGCTTGCTGCCTTTCCTCAACCCTGACGTTCCTGATCAGTTCTACCGTCTGTGGCTCTCTCTCTTCCTCCATGCTGGGTATGCACCTCAGCGACATCCCAAGACAGATATTTAATTTCTGTTTGTTCATGTTTTTGTACCGACTTACATGTGGCTCTTGTTACAACATTTAATTTTACCATTAACTATAAGTGAGCTATTTGAGCTGATTATACATGGAGCAGCTGTAGTGGTAACACTTTGTAGGTATTAAATATCATTCTGAGAATGTTTAATATGCTGTGACAAAGTGTTAAGCCTTTTTACACAGTCGATGAGCTGTTTCATTCATTGCCAATGGCTGTGAATGACTACTTAGTGAGGTTTCATTATGTCAGCATCCTGGAGGATTCAAACCTAATGAAATATTTCTAAATGAGGCCCCAGTGCTCGTGAGCAGTTCACTCACATGAGTATTGTTAATACTTCAAGCTAATACTGGGCACAATGGAATTCCCCTAAGTTTACCCCTTTTCGAATAAGAAAGCAAACAGGCCAAAGGAGCTTGACGAAAATATGCAAATCTTGGTATAATGCAGTGGTTGAAATGACAGATGCGCCACCCTCAGACTAATGTATACATGTGTGTTTGTAGGCTTTTACACTGCGTGGTGTCAGTGGTGTTCCAAATGACCATACTGAGAGACCTGGAGAAGTTGGCAGGCTGGGCGCGCATCTCCATCATATACATTCTCAGTGGCATCACCGGTAACCTTGCCTCGGCCCTGTTCCTGCCCTACAGAGCTGAGGTGAGTTCTTCAGATGAAAAATCTCATCTAATGCATGGATATACAAACAAATAAGGTGCACACACATAGAGTTTGCACAGTTTCCTGGTATGCTTGGACACCAGTGAGTTCATCTGGTGTACAGGCTGGAGAAGGATGAATACAAGATGACATCAGCAGGGGAGCTGCTGCACGGCATTTTAAGTGATTGACAGCCAGTAATGTCAGCTTTTCGTCATGTTTTTGTTCGTTTTTGTGACGTCACCTTTTTTAAACCTGCAAAAATTCCCATGTGGTAGGTATGTTCATGCACACAGCAAACAATATATGCTTACTCCAAGTGCAAGAGTGCCACTAGTGAGCCTTCCACGTGCACAGCTACAAACAGAATGCACGCTTCTCTTGTAATTCAGCATAGTAACATTGACAAACACATGCTTTGTCTACTGCAGTTCACTGTTTTCATGCACATTGATGTGAGGCAAATAAATCTGCTGTAACTTTCCACGTGCACAAACACACTGAAAAACCTAAAAAGTTTATTAATTTTTTTTTTACAGAGGCAGAAAAAGCTGTTTTTCCCCAAGATTACTTTATGCTAATCACCAACATGTTTGGATTGTCGTGACCCTTGCCAAGCTGATTTATTTTAATTGCTTAAGAACTAACACTTGATGCTTTTTTTCTCGATGTTTTTTATTATTATATTTTTGACATTTTGCCTGTATTAGATTGAAACAATATAGACAGATAGGATATGTGGGAAAAGAAACAGATCAGGGGAATGACATGCAGTGAAGATCCACCCGGCGAGGAATGAAACCGGCAACTCTTTGTTTGAAAGTGGTTTGTGCCCTGATCATTTAGCTATCAGGGCACCCACACCATCCATGTCAAACACACATAGTGCAGTCTTGCCGGTCAAATATCAGGTGTGTTAAGCAATCTGAAATATGGGCCTGTGCTCCTGCTCTCCAAAATCTTTTTAACACCCCTTGTATTAATTAAAGAGCCAAATATTCAGGCTGCTGGACATGATCCTGTGTTCTGTTCTCTTCTTAAAAGCCACCACTGAATTTACACCTATTAGAGCTAAATCTGTTCTAAATGTTTCCTGGATACTAAGATCCCGTCACCTCTCGTGTTTCAGTCGTGTTTAATGATGTTGCAAAATATTGCTACGTTTTCATCGTAAATATAGTTTGTTTTCTTGCTGTTCCCGCTCAGTGGCTTAGATCAGCTTAGTTTAACTCACTTACTGGAGCAGAGTTTCTCCTGCAGGGGATTATTAGAGCAGACATGACTGCCTTAGTCTAGAGAGGTCTATAGGGGCACAGGATACACTCACAGGGTTAACTGTGCAAGTGCCTAGAGAACTGAGCTTAAGTCGATAACACACAGGACCACTTTACTGTAGCTGAATCATTCCTGTGAAGACAGCTGTGTCATCCAGCCCAAGCATAAAGCACAGTGTTCATATGTTTTTGGTTGTAGGCAACAGTACAAGACTAGTCTCAGCATATTAAAACAGCATTTCACAGCAACATTGAAGTGACTAGTAATTTATTATTATCACACAATTTGTAATAGAAACACATCACAAAAAAGCCACTGATCTTTATTAGTATATGTGTTTGATTAATAAACAATAATATTTTATTAATAAACCCAAAAACACTTTAGAGGAGGGAGTTCTGTGGTGTTACCGTGACCTTTAAAAAAAATATAACGCATGCTGTCAGACACCAATCTTTATATTTACAGTACATCGCAAAGCTTCAAATGTTTTATTTGGACATTATCACCACAGTTAATGCACGTTGTTGTGTCCTGTCGGATGTGCTGCTGGTAAGTTGAAGCAATCCTCTTGGTACACGAGATTAAGTGTGAGAGAGAAAGTGGTTGCTGAGTCAGCTGCAGCTAAATACTGTCTTAGGTCACGTCTCTACATGCTTTTAAAATGCTCTGGCCGGTCGACCCTGTGCACCTTGTGAATAACTCACGTTTGACACCATCTGATGTTTTGTACCATCTATGCAGGGAAAATAATACGGACGATTTATTAAATATTCATTAACCATCGTTTACAGTTGCACCAGAAACCTAATATGACAACGATGCTCTCTACTCATGTCACAGTCTGCGTTTCCTACTTCCTGTGTATTACACTTCCGTTTAATTTTTGCCAAAAACAACAAATTGCTAAGCATTTAAAACACACAGTCTGGATTACCTACTTTTTACCGGCAAGTCTGTTTTTTTGTGTGAGTCTGTGTAGCCCAATTTCCCCTTTAAGAGATTAGCCTAATGCCATTGTGTGGGTTCCAAAAGGCCAATGCTACGGTACTTAGTAAATTGGATTACATTTATTATCTTTAAACAAAGACAATTGTTACATAGACCAGACGTGTCTGCTGATGCTTCTGATCCATGACCGTTTATGAACAGGTTTTCCTGACGCCCACATGAAAGGCTCTACTCTTTATTTAATTGTCGTGGATGTGTAAAGAGCACTTTGATAGTGACACATGCTTCATATTTTACTTTGGAACAACTGGTTTACATACTCACACATGAGAGGTAATTCATATGAGTTTGCATATGCTTCTCAGCTTTGCATCTATGTCTTGATGTCATCGAGACATCTGTTATCTTTTTAAGCCGACCCCCCATGACGTAGCTTGACGTGAGAGCCAGAAATCCCACCACCAAGCTCTCCTTCTCTCAAACCAGCTCACAGGCCTTCACACCCAGGAATAACCAGAGGAAGCACATGCGAGGCGCAACTGAGGGCGGTCAATCCACTTAAAGAGGTGGTTTAAGTGGATTATTCTTTAACTGTTGAGTCAAGGAGCCCCCATGGCTCGCGCAAAAATCAGTCAAACAACAGCTGTGACTGAGTAATTCTCTCACGAAAAGTAGCTCTGCAGAGTTGTGAAAGTCCAACAATGCTAGTTTCTGCTAACAAAACAAACATTAAAGTCAGGTTTATTTTAGTGGAATGTTTCTTTTTTTTTTTAATTGATGCTGTATCTCGACATTACTACATAGCAATATGTCTGTTAGAGAAAAGCAAAATGCTACTCTGTTCATTTGTACTTTGCACCTTCTCTGTTGCCATGCTATCCAGATATTTCACCTGTTGAAGTGATCTCATTGCGTGGTTGGTTTACAGCATGTCATATGAGACGCTCCATCATCCCTGTTTCTGAACAATATGCACAATAATGCATTGTAGCTTTAACTATAACAAATGAAAAAGGTAGTTCTCTCTTACTCCAGTTACATAGAAGCTGATCAAGGTCAGAGACTTTGTTACGCTTTACATTTTGATGCCAGAATTTATCAACTAAATCCAAACCACTTGGAAACATAATATGGATAGTTCTACCTTCTTATGTTAACAGTGAGGAGTCTCCAGTATGTCACTTTTCTAATTTGATATGTGACGATAAGGTCTTGAAGCCTGTTCTGTGGGAATAGTTAGCTGAAAGTGTAAGTGGAGATTATACATGTCACTTGCCAGGAAGAATTAGAGGGAAGAGGACATTCAGTCTGTCTGGGAATGCACTGGTTGGAACATGTGATCAGACATTATAGTATTCTCAAGCTCTACGATACACCGCCTGACTCTGTGGGATGTTGGCTCCTCAGTTTAGAGAGTAAATATTAAACACAAATGTAAAATAAACAAAAGTAGTCGAACTATAATAGAAAAACAAAGCAACTTGAATTGTTTATCTATTGGTTTCCAATTCATAAATGTCACCACAGACAGGGTTGCTGTTCCTGTACAGACTATACTATGCTGTACTTAAACTACTCGTCACAGTGAGTCAGAGTCAGTGCAGCTCATCTCGTTGACCTTTCCTTTCACTCATTAGTGTTGCACAGGCCACTTGTTTTCCTTCTGTATAGATGTGATCAGCAGTATCTATTCAATTGCTAAAAAATATATATTGATGGACTTCTTATGCGTTTCAAAGTACGTTAACAGTTTTAGATTCTTCACTTGGAAATCTAATCGACCAAATGAATGACCAACTGTGAAGCAGAGTGTTGAATCTACTGAGGAAAACATCTTAATTTAGCCCAAGTGAGAGAGCAGGTGTCTAAGTCGCAACAGTTTCTTAAAATATGAAATAGCTGGAATGAAATGAGGCATTATCACTACAAGGTTCCATTGTTTAGCTGGGCTTTAAAAGTTTTAATCAAGTGCAGGACAATGTGCAAGTTTATTCTGAGTGTTTGCACATGGAGTCTGGGTGAAGACAGTTGGTGTAGAAACCAGAATAGTAGGATTTTTTAGTCAGAAAACAATAGATTACAACTCCTCTTCCTTGACACGCAGACACACACAAATGGGGGTTTAATCAAAACCCTATTTTGGAGAAATATGATTTGTGATCAAGGCACAATAGTACATGTCCTCAGGTTAACAGAGATGTCTTCAGGTCACTGCATCGACCTTTAACGTCGCTCCAAATATGATCAATCTTAACCAGTAGCGAGCGACTGTTGCCCGTGTGAGGAGCGTGTCGGCCTGCGTGTCAGAGGCGTGTGGGTGGAGTGCCATGCTCTTTTTCTGCTTGTGGATGTTTAATGTCTTCACAGATTAGCCATCTGCCTCTGACCAGACCAAGCCTCCAAACTCAGCCTTGACGTCACTCTAATCTGCTCACCTTTACTGCCCGACCCAGGGCTCATACTGTCGTTCTTCTCCAGAACTAGATCTGTAACCAAGACAGACTGTGGACAGGTCAACCTGCAGCAATCAAGACCTTTGTCAAGTTTTACAATCCCCATAGAGCCACTAAGAGTCACTCAGAACTCCTCCAAACCTGTTTCTGCTTGTTGATTACTATGTGATGTTGTGACCAAAGAGAAAAGTCGATTTTATTCATTAACATTACCAGTAACTACAGTTCCCTGGATCACGATTAAGTCCCTTAGCGGTACTCAAAATGAGCCAGTGCAAATAATTGTTACTTAAAATACGATCCTGAGAACTTGCTGCCAAGATTTAGTAATCAGGTTAAATCTCTGCTGCTCTGGTCGAACACAACCCGTGTGAGTGTGTGTCTGTTAATTACACATCCGTCTAGCCGGCTCACCTGATAACTGGACTGAATTTGTCATATTTGGTTCACTTCGTTTATCACCATTCACTGCCGACCAAATCGCTGATGTTGGCACCAATCTGGAACACTAAGTCGGAAACATGCTGCCTCCTGGTCTACATTCTTCACAAATCACATCATTCTTGCCTGTAAAACATAATTTATGCTCATACTGGCACAATTTCCTCTGTGTCAGTGTCCGAACCGCATCAGGAGACAAACAAATGAAAGCATTCTTTGCTGGTGTAAATGCTGTAAATATCCAAAATATGTTTTACAATATTGACAACTCAAGGAATTAAATCTTGAGTGACGCATTTGACTTCAAATCTGTTCCACGTGCATGTGTGACCCAGTGCTATCTACCAAATAAGTGGAGCAGATAGTTACCTAAAAGCCCCGTGTGAGCAGTAAGCAGGATGTATGCATTTTATTTCCAGTACGCATCAAAGATAGCTGTGTGTCATGCATGTCCTGAGTCATACATACACAGTGAAAAGGGTTTTATGTGTAAGTGGATATATGCTGCAGAAGAACACTGCAGCTTCTGGTCTGAACAAACAACCTTTATTAAGCCTCTGAATCCCAAAACTCGCAGGTTTGAAAGGTCTGTTAGCATTTTAAAACTGCCAAAATGATGATGATTTGTCAGAGCCAAAAAGTGTAAAAACTGAAAGAAGCATCAGATTTTCAATTTACAGTCCCTGAACTTATCATGTGTTAGTTTTGATTTTGGAAAATGAACCAATTCTCAGCTTACAGTACGAAGTTTCATCCAAATCCCTGTATTCTATAGATCTCATTTAAAATGTGCCGAAAATACATCGTCTCCACAAAGCAGGTTCTGTTAGAAAGTATGTGTGTAGTATGTAGAGCCACATTTTTTTCAGTATTGGTAAAACCTGTGGACACTTGGAATAATCTTCTACATGTTTTTGTTTTGTAGTCATTTAATCGTCTGTAATGTGTCTCTTTCTTGCTTTCTCTCCCTCCAGGTGGGTCCGGCAGGCTCTCAGTTTGGCCTCCTTGCTTGCCTCTTTGTTGAGTTGTTTCAAGGCTGGCAGATGCTGGAGAAGCCGTGGAAGGCCTTCCTCAAACTGCTGGGCATCGTCCTCTTCCTCTTCCTGTGCGGCCTCCTTCCGTGGATCGATAACATCGCCCACATCTTTGGTTTCCTCAGCGGCTTGCTGCTCTCCTTTGCCTTCCTGCCCTACGTCACCTTCGGGACATTTGACAAATACCGGAAACGTATACTCATCGGCGTCTCGTTGGTGGCTTACATCGGCCTGTTCTCTTCCCTCATCGTTTGGTTTTATATTTACCCCATTAACTGGCACTGGCTGGAGCATCTCACCTGTCTGCCCTTCACAAGCAAGTTCTGTGAAAAGTATGACATAGACCACGACATTGACCATGTGGTGCACTAGTCTCCAGGATACTGATGACATCTAGTGAGCGCTTCTGTGCTGCTGGTCTACTTCTGGTCATCTTGGTGGCCTTTTAAGAATTTGGCAATCATATTTTTATTATTTTCTGATAAAAGATCTGCTCAAAGTCCGTGTGAATGGAATAGGATCAGTCTCTTCTCATCAGCCTGCTGACCTACTTGCTTCCATGAAACTTATTCAACCTTTTCAATCCTCAGTCAAGGCTGGTACGACCCGGTGGTTGGTTCTCAGAATCAGGACAGGAAAAGAAACTCAGGACATTAAAACTGCGACGAGCAGGATGGACACCAATGAGAAGATCTATAGAGCGAAAGACTGCCGGGCCTCCTCGTTTTATAAACACACATCAGTCTACAGACTCTCTCAGTCAGTTTCCCTTTAAATCCATGGACGACAAACTGCTGCGGTGAAAAGGAAGACTTTTGCATAAATGGGCCGTCAGGTAAACTGAGACACATCAGATGCTTCCGACCTGTAATTCTTGTTTTCATTAACACTGGATTTAACACTACAACAGCTCTCATTGTGTCCCGCTGCTTCTCCAAATAGTGAGAAATGTTTTTTCAAACCATTTTTTTTCCCATCTTTGCTCGTTGTATGTATGCACTTGGCAAGTCAATACTCTTTGGAGCAGTGAAAGGTTCTGCTAAAGATAACGGTATGTTCCGAGTATTCATTGTGCAGCTGAAATAGTTCAAATCCAATATCAGCGGTCAACTAAGGCAAGATTTCTATCCAGAACCACTAGTTGCCTTAAGCAGACTATGCCGTTTTACAAAGATGCCTCATTGTACTTCTGCGTCGTTTGTCATCAGCTTTCTGACCCCTCATGAACATACCTGTGATCCGAACCTACCAAAGCAACTCCACGTGCTGCTTTTTCTTCCCATATATGCATGTTGTTTTTCACTGTCACTTTTCTGTATGTCACTGCCACAAATGAATTTTAAATTAAGCTCTGCTTTCAGTGTCTCTATTTGATCCTATCTGTCTGATCACGGTGGTGCCTAAAGCCTTTTCTAGACTTACTCTGAAATAAATCAAACGTAATATTTATTCACGGAGCGATGACTTAATCTGGCTTGTTGTTGGATCAAAGCAGATTTTTTTTACTGTATTTTTCAACTTCTATGGAAACAATACTCACAAGATCCCATTTAAGTTTTCCCACGGGCCTTAAGTTGTGAAATGCACTGTAGGAGTCTCTGGATTCACTGATACTGAACAATGCAAGACAGATGGTTTTAAAGTGTTTTAAACAAATGCAAGTCTTGTCCTCTACATTTCCTTTTGTTTGTGCCCTTGCCTTGGAGGGTCTCTCACAGTGTGACGAGTCCTGACGTCTGTAATGAAACCTTTTCCACATCCTTGGCTTTAAACGCTGCCCTGCATCCAGTTTGTTGTTGTTCAGGGTTCTGGTATGTGTTGACCCCAGCTGTCAGGAAAGCCTCAGTAATGACTGCTGTGTGGAGGATTATGCGAGTTACTGAGTGAGTTATGAGATTATGTGAGTTTGTCTAGAGAAGTGACTCGCTGATCATCTGGTGTTTCTGAGGACACAAAACCAATTCAGATGTTTTTATTCAGATTTCACAGCAGCGCATCTCCACCGCTGCAGCCGTCAGACTCGGCCCTCATCCGTTACGTGGGCCAAGTGTGAACAATAGCGTCCACCTTTTGTAAGGAAACCTCTTTACTGTGCCTTTTGACATGTGAGCATGTGAATGTTTGAGCTGAATCACAACAACCAAGTCCGCCGTCATGACTTCACTGCTGTGTTTGCATCGGGACCAAATAAGTTCACCCTTTTTTTTTTTTTTCTATTTAATACAATAAAAAGGGAAAGTTTAAAATAATTTTTCAAGTCATTGTCAAGGTACTGTTCCTGTTTTGCTTTGGTTTTATATGTGAAAAAATGTGTCAGTTAAAGCGGTCATGTCAAAATAAACGCACTCTAATGAAGTATCTGGGCCTAGTTTAATTTCATGTTAGTTTCATGATGTTTGCTGCTTTGAAGACATTTTTTGAGATTTTTTTTTTTCCTCCCAGAACCTTTCTGCTTAAAGAAACCTTGTGTTGAGGTCGTTTCCTTGTCTGCTGTTTCCAAGGTCAAGAAAACACTTCAAATAATGTGATCCTTAGTGCTCAGAAGAAAGTTTAACAAAAGTTCCAGAAGTTCCTCTGAAAGTGACCTTGTGGTGAGATGCATTTTCTTAACTAATATGAAAATAACTATGGCTAATGGAGTGTAAATGAGACAATATAAGAACAAACAAATTAGAAAATAGAACTTTTATTACTTTTAGAACAAAACAGCATCATAAAAAAAACAAATTAGTCTTGATTCAAGACTGTGGGAGGCAAAGGTGGTGACTGTCTACAGGGAGAGAGGTGACAGGAGACAAAAAGAAGACGTCTTTGAAGCAGATATACGTAGAATAGAAATTGTACAGGGGATCTGATGGGGCAGGTTTTCTGAACATGCTTACAATAATGCCACAGACTTCTGGAACAGAACCTCTCAAATCTTCATTTTAAACAACATGTTTACGTTAATACATCCGCTTCTTATCTGACGTTTGCTTTCTGATATCCCTCGTTTGTCATTTTGATTTCATGATTACTGCAGATTTACTTTGGCATGTAGATGTACAGTTACTGCAGGTATACAAAGCTTCTACAAAGGATTAATAGATATTCATCGTATAGACTAAGTTTGTCCTCACAGGCTTAACAGAGAACCTGAAACCATGTTAGACTAGTTACAAAAACAAATAAAAAAGAAACAAGGCAGCTGCATTCTATGATTAATAAATGTCCAGCATTTATCAGAATAGCTTAATACGAAAAACAAAGCTGAAATTTGTCCTACTGATTTGGATTTTATGTTACAGACACACTGAAATACAAATCAAGATATCTTCTCTGTTTCCCACCACTTCTCCAAGCAGCTGTTGTCCACAGCTGGATGGCGGCTTTTCTTTTTTGTTTTCAGCTCTGTGCAGAATTCAGATTTCACGCCTCGCTGCCTGCTGAGCAAGTTTCTCTCACAGTGACGATCACAAACACAATCGCTGCACCGGATCGCTCGCGCACAACACAACTGCTCACGTGTCCCCTTTTCTGTTTCTGAGGGAGGTGGGAGCTCCCAGCATCCCTGACAGCCAGAGATGATGCACTTTCAGTCCCGTCTGTCTTCAACAGCCACTGTTGCGGCGCATGAAGGCGTGGCCCCTGACTGGGTAGAGCATCTCGATGAAGGTCAGGGGCCCCACTGTGATCTCGCTGGGGCCCTGAACCTTGAAGCCTGACTTCTGGTAGAATGGAACCAGGAAGTCTTCGCACATGAGCACGGCGCGGCGGACGTACGGCAGGCAGCGGAGGTACTGCAGGTAGCGCCACATCAGGATGGAGCCTTTCCCCTGCTGGCGGAAGGTCCGGTGGACGGCCAGGACGTGGATGTGGACGGTGGGGCCGTGGGGCTTGTGGAGGGTCAGAGCGTCCTGGAGAGCAGAGAGCGACAAGAGAGCTGTGAGGACTAAGAACTGTTGTGTTGTTGAGCTGCCTGTTGAGTCTCTACAGGGACATTTGGCGCTGCAGCACAAAGGCCGAAAGCTTTCAGTATGAATACAATAAAACAAAAAAACAAAAATTATTACAGTAAATCTGATCACTTCAAATCATGTTTATTTATATACACTTTAGATTATGATTTTTTTTTTTTTTTAGAATTTTTTTAAATGTAATGTTTTTTTAAAAAATTTATGTATTTATTTTTACAGATTTTCCTTGTTTTGCTAAATTAAATATAGTATCTTATAAAATCACAGAAAAACTATTAATTTACAAGCTGACTTTAAAAAGAAAGTGCCAGAACTGTACATAATGTCCACTTAAAAGATCTGTACCTTTACAAATACTAATTTGTTCTTTTGCATTGTTTGACCGTGACAGTTTCACTTATTTAAATCAGCTAAAAAATGTAATTATTCTACAGACATTTCAACTGTTTGCTCCCGTTTTTTCTGGCACCCCTGCCAGAAAAATGCATCCAAATTTAGATTTTTCTCGGCAAAACAAGATAAGGGCTTGTAAGATCAAATACTAACATAAAATACATATAGAACACTAAACTATTAAGACTACTAAGAGCAACCAAAAGTTATTAAAATTAATGTTTCTTTAAAGTTCAAATGGAAGAGGAACATCTGATTGAAAGAAGGATTTTGAAAAGCTTCAGAGCTGCAAGTGCAAATTTAAGATCTGCGCGGCTTTAGAGACAAATGAAGAACTTTAAAATCAACTCCGCATTTAAATGCTACAAATTCCTTTTTAAGTATTATATAGGCAATTTCTTATTTATTGTCAGTGATGCATTAATATGTATGAAGCAGTGTAGTGAGTAGTGGGTCTAGGTAGGAATGAACTGTTTCATGAACTATTTTTGTTCATAGAAGTTAATCTGCAAACTAACTCATGAGCAAGTAAAAGTGCAATATAACACTCTGAAATGTGGAGGAGAGGAAGCAAACACCTCAAAATGGTACTTAAGCACAGGTATTGTCCACCACGAGGCTTAACTCAGTATATTTCAGTGACTAATCTTGGCTAATGAGTTCTGATTCTTCTCTATTCCACCAGTTATTCTGCTAAAATGTTTTATCATTCAATCAACCAAGTGTTCATCTTCACCTCCAGAATCATGAGAACAGCTAGAATGTGTCACAATGGAAAGAAAATGCTCTTTTCCTGTGATTTGAACTCACGAGAGAGCAGATGCACAGAGATCTTCCAGCCATCTCAGAGAAGTAGCTAATTTAACATATTGTGACCTCTTTCTATCCAGCACCTTGTTGTCTGTGGTTCCTTTACACAGCCCTGCACATTAGCTCTAATGTATGTGCAGGACTTTAATGGTTTGCCTTGTAGGTATGACACTGACTTCTGTTTTCTAATGCAGCTATATTGTCACGTGTTTTCTAATCACTTTTTATTGCACAGATGTCTCAGGAGTTTATGTGCACATGAGAAATCAAACTTTACAACTGTGCACATGATTTCAGTTTTGTTGCAGCTTAAAATTAGTACAGAAGACTTTTCACAATTTCAAGAAAACTCAGAGGCGAATACAACTTTCCTGATTAGTCTGGATCTCTCTGGGTCTGTCTTCATCTAAACTAGAGGCCATAATGCTGAGGCTGTACATTTCCAATAAGATTTAAGTGGATTTGTTTGACATTTACCATCACCAGCTGAGTTTCCGAACACATTCTACCATAAATATGCACTTAAATCTCCTGTCTTAATCTGTTTTCAACCTTGGTCTTAAATTTTCCCTGGTCAGTCAGACGGATACAAATCGGTGTGCAGGTGTCCTCCGCTCTGTCTTACCATGGTAAGCCTCTCCTGGTCCCACAGTGAGCCGATGATAAAAGCCACCAGCCGTCCCTCCTCGAACCAGCCAAGAGACAGCTCAGGACACAGGCTGAGGAAGTGACGCACCTCGTCCAGGTGGAGAGGACACTCACCGGACACCGAGATGAAGGCTGTGTGGGGAGAAAGAGCAGAAGGAGGAGAGTCAGGGATCAGGAAATTAGACATTAATGCGCCTGGATTGCGATAATGTTCCACACAGAGAAAACAACATGGAAAGACATGGATGACAGCAACTAAAAGCAGGGATAATGTCATAAAAACGATACTTATAATTTCTGTTAATGTAATTTATGTCAACAACTGCTAATATTTTACTCATAGACTTGTTTTCAGCTTGTGGAGGCTGCATGATTGAATGAATTCCCTTTTCACGTGTGCGTAATTGTGCCAGAACTACCTATGCTGAAGCAGTTTAAACAGCCGTGGCGCCTGCTGTAAGTCTGTAAAGTTGATATTTAAAGTTTGTTTACCTTCTCGTTCAATCTCGAACACGCTGATGGCGTCCTCCGGGCTGAGGGAGCGGAACTCGCTGGCCGGCAGCGTGTGGCGGCGACCCCGCGGCACCGGAGAGCGCATGTGGAGCGGCTTCATGAACGGCACTGCGCTCACCACCGACATGGTTTGATGTTTGCCAAGAAGATTTTGGAGGAAAATAAAAATAAAAAAGAATACGGCGTGAGATTTTCTCTCTAAACTTCTTCAAACACGAGCTTCTACTAGAGCCCGATCCGTGCGTAACAGGAGTGTGCGCGTAAAGACTGAGCTGAGAGTGGCGCACCTCCGGTATTTATACCGCTGCGTCGGGGTGGTAGTTTCTAATCCTGAAGTGAGCTGGGTGACCAAACCCTCCATTCCCCGTGAGTGCGTTGAACAATAAACATATTTACACGGGGTCAGGAGGGATATCCGTGTGTTGAGAATTATCCTCGTCATGCCTCCATCAGGCCCGCAGCAGATTTGGATTTTACTGATCATGTGTTGGACTTGTCATTCCAGTGTATTTCCAACCTGTTGTCATGAGCAATGTCCGCTGTGACAAAGTGCTTTAGAGTAATGCCAGTTTAGCTGTTTTCTGACTGGTTAACCACCACAGTGTCAACTTTAATTAACGTTGCCAGCAGACTGAGTGTCCTCTGCCGGTGTTGCTTAACTGGGCCATCTTAAGGACTCCTCGTCTTCATGTGATTCTCTGACGGAGACTTTCCATTGTCCCTTTAAGTCGAGTTCACGATTTTTCCACGCTTTATTTTCCAGATCCGTAAGAGGATTACAAAACGTGTAGGAGCTTGTTTGTCACTTCTTCAGACTTAAATAATCTCAGTTAAGAACTTCACGTTGTTGACCTCTGCAGATAAACAGATTTCTCACAAGATGTAGCAGACTTTGAATTATCAGACAGGACAGCAGCAGAACTCAATGTTTTAATGCGTTTCCTTGTGTGGTTTGTCTTTAGGAGGCCACTAAAGGATACACACTGTCAACAACTGGAAACACAATATTCTTTACCCTAACCAAGTACAATAAAACTATAATTTTACATTCACAAATTGTAAGAGAACAAATTACTTCTTGTAAAATATTTCTTTTTATGTGTTCTGGCCTTTATTTTACAGTCAGCATGTAAATTAAGACACTTTTAATGTGATTTTATTAGATGTTATCTGTAATTTACTGAAACAAATCTGTCATTTTGCACTTTGTATGTATACATGTATATGATATTATTTTCTTTATTTATTTTATCTCCTTTTGCACTGTTTAAAAATTTGCTTTATTTATTTTTGCTTATTTTTTTCATCCCTTTCTCTCTATATATATATATCACATGTATATTTATGTCTTGTGTGTTTTATTCTTTATTCTTATTCATCTTTTTAATATTGTTTTGGTGTGGAACAGGTGCACAAAGCATTTCACTGCGCGTTATACCATGTATAACTATGTTTGTGACCAATAAAGGCCTTGAATCCTTGAATCCTTGAATGAAATAACAGTTTAAAAAGTACTGGCTATTTTTCAATTGTTAATATACGCAGTGTTTCTTTCAAATAGTGATAAATATATGTACAACAACAATATTTATGCTGATTTATATAAAAAATGTTAGAATCAAACATCACAATGTGAAAGAAACGGAAAAATGTCTTGTAAAAGAAAAAATGACAGAGTTTTGATGTGGACTTTATTTACACTTTTGTCTGAGCTCGTTTGTTTTGTAATTATCTTTATGTTGGAGAACTTGAGAGTAACTTGAACAGATTCTCATGAACCAAACAAGAAGGTTTATCTCAGCTAAAGACCCACTGTTTCAGTCACGTCACCACTTGTAGATATCAAATATGAGGCATAGAATAATAATCTGCTTATTAGTAGCGGCCATTTAATTTATTCAGTAATTACCCACCTGGTGAAGTCTACACTGGTTGTGGCAAATGGACGTGTTCAGGGGTAGAAAGATAAGTATGTTGAATATTCTGTTTAAAAAAAACTATTTTGGATTTTGGGGTCAATCTGTGCAAAAATAGTTAAGCTGGAGGTCAAAGGTCACCATATCAGGGGTAACTATCTGGCTCTTTGCTTTTATCTTAAAAAAAAAAAAAAGTGTAAGGCTGTAGCTACAATTGGATATTTAATAATTTAAGGCAGAGTAACACTCGTAGGCTCCATATGATCTGTTTTCAAACAAGTGGATTTTTCCTACAGCTGCAACCATTAATCAATTAACGTCTAAACGATTAAATTAATTGCAATCTATTCTGATAATCAGTCATTTTGTTTGAGTAATTTTAGAAGAAAAAAGGTTAGATTCTCTGATTCCAGCTTCCTAAGTATGAATGATGCCTTTCCTCCTCTGTGACAGTAAACTTTGGGTTGTGGACAAAAGAAGATATTAGAGGAGGTGGTGTTCTGCTGTAACTGTGAGAAAAACAAACTTTTATTTATTTGTTTACCTATTTATGATCACATATCGTCGTATGTTTCTCTCACAGTCACAGCAGGTTTCTAGTCTCGCTGCTGCTGCTTCTGTCTGACGGCGCCGCCCCGTGGTGACAGCCGAAACTGCGTCATGACGCTCTCACACTGCGCTAGTTACGTAGCGCTGCGTAGCTACGTAACCACGTGCACTTCGCTGCTTCCAGGTTACAGCTTTTTTCATTCCACCGTCATCCTCGCGCTCTAGCATCACTCCCTGACAACAGCAGCGATGGCGGAGCCCGTAGCATCAGATGCGGCGGCCACATCGGACGCAGCAGCCACGGCAGCATCACCGACACCGGGCCTCTCTCCCGCAGCCAGCCCGGGCTCGGAGCCTCCATCCATGGCTCTCTCTCCCACGGCGGACGGCTCCCAGCGGCTGCTGTTCTCCCACGACCTGGTCTCCGGACGGTATCGCGGCTCAGTCCGGTTTGGCCTCGTACGGATGATCCACGGCGAGGAGGATTTTAACTCGGACTCGGACCTCGACGACGGCGGAGGGAGAGGCGGCGGAGAAGGAGGCGGCGGCGGAGGAGGAGGCGGAGGAGGCGGAGGACGAGTCCCGTGTGGTTCGGACACTGAGAGTGCCGCGGACACCCCGAGTCGGCCTCTCGGAAGGGGATTTGTCCGCGTCCAGTGGTACCCTGAAGGAGGAAAGCAGGACATCAGGGAGACAAAGGTACCAGCTAACGTGTTCACTGTTTACACTGGGCGCTGGGCGGCTGCCTCAGCCTGACATGAGCACCGCGCCGTTTGTAGCTGCCTGTTGGCTTTTTGGAGGAGATAAGGCGACTTGTTAGCCAGTCAGGGATAAGGTTCACTTAATCCATCTGCCTAAAACGCACCACCGAGCCCGCTAATTGGCTAGCATTCAAGCACACATGCTAGCTAGCAGTTTAGCTCATAGCCTCATGTCTCCCAGCTGGTCCTGGCAGGCGACACAGGCTCGTTCCACCTGACTGCGTCCAGCTAGCTGCTTTTACACCAAACATACACGAGCGGGTGTCCGGCCAGCAGCCCTCCGTGAGCAGGTGTGAAGGTTTTGGCAGGTGCCGGCTAGCAACCTTACACCTATTGATTAGCTCATCCTGTAGTTCCTCGGCTGGGTGTGACCTGGCCTCAGACCAGGCGTTGTATGTCATGAAACAAACATTATTATTTGAATAACGTTTCAGTGTCTTAAATAAACCTGCATGTTGTTTTAAACCAACATGGACAGAGCTGGACACTGAGCTAGCAGGTGTTAGCAGAAGAAATCTTTCAACAAATTCATTGATGACTTGATGCTTTATCAGTTTGACAGTCATGGGAACAGATTTTTTTTGGGTGTTTTTCCAACTGAAATCAAATTTTAGTAAGTAATTAAATTGTTGATCAACCCAAAATTAGTAGATAATTGATTAATTGTGTTGTCAAATTTCCTGCAACATTTTTTTTTGCTCTGGCTTATAAATAAAAGAAATCTTCTCCCAGTTGTATATCGAACAGGTTTGAGGCTCAGATAAAACAAGACAATTTAAGACACTTTGGAGTCATTAGTGGCAACGCCTCAGCAGTTTTATGTTATTACTTTTTAAATATTGTTTTCAGCTGCTGCAGTTTATTATTGCTGAATAATCTGTTGCTTGTTTTTTCTATAAAATGTCCAAAAAGTTTACCGACAACTCATTTCATTATCATAAAACACCAACAAGACCGTCAAATATTCACAACTGAGTAGCCGAAACTAGTGACTAATTATCAGCTGATAGTTAATGTGATTATTTTTTCAAACTGTTTTGGTACGATGGCTTTTTAGCCTTTGCATCTTTAAGCAATTTGAATACTTCTAAGTCTGAAGCATATGTGACGCCCAAATAAACAATCGGTGACGCCAATGGATGAGTTTATTATTCACAGCATCAAGATAATGATCCTGTAAAGTGGTAGTTTATGTGTTGCAGGTGAACTTTGTAGTAAGGTTTTGTTGGCTGGTATGCAAACAGATAAACCTCCTCCAAGAAGAAGGTTTAGTTATCAAGGTAACTCTGTAAAATCCTGAAGCCCATCGAACCATAGCCATGAGACCCATTTTATGTTGAAGATAATGTAACTTTGTCTGTCTTGGTTGAGGCTTAATATGTAGCATCTAATTCTGGTCACGTACTCAATTCCAGTGCAAGTTTGGCATCCTTCATTTAAATTCGTAACCGTGCAATGCCGTATCAACGTTTCACCATAAATGCTGGTAAATAACACTGTTGTCATGCTTTGTTCCAGTTGGACACAAAGGTCCTATGTACGGAGCTTTCATTAAGAAAATCTACTTGATTTTCATTTTCCTTTTACAGGCAAAATATACATTACGTTGTCGCTGGTAAAGGGAAATGGAAAAGCTGCACTGTCATGTAAATCCTCTCGGGCTTCTCTAGATTCCTCCTGGGCTTTGTGGAAAAGGGGTCACAGGGTTTTGAAGGAGGACAGGTCTGGAACAAGCTCATACAAACTCATTTCAGGGACACGGGATAGGACCAGAAGAAACCTATTTTAGGACCCGCTGCTTTGTCTTTTAAGCTAAATGAGTAAAGTTCTGGTCCGAGTGTCAACCTTTGTTACAACAAAGGCCGAATGACACGTCCCTGAAACAACAACGCTGATGTTAACGCACCACGTGGAGCGTTAACACCGCGTCCCCAAAGCATCCAGTGTGCGCTGATGTGCACGTGTGTGGATCGCATTGTGTCGTTCTCTTGTGTACGTTCTTTTGTAGTGATTTCTCGTTTGCGTATCTGGATGCACCACATGCCCTGTCTCACAAGGCTCCTTCTTCTTGTTCTCTGCATCTATCCTGAGAGCATGGTTTTAGATTCTAATCAATAATTCATGATTACTTCCTGCAGTATGCAAAGTTGCATATCTTCAAGATGGTATTTGCACTCATTTTTGACTTGTATTTATTCTGCAGGCTGCACCTCAGTAGAAATGTTTTCTCCCAGAAGTGATCAGGACGAGGAAAATTGCTGCTTCAAAAGCTGAAGCACTTGTCAGACTTACTCTTGGGGTTCATAAGACTCGCATTTTTACAGCATTATGGTTTCATGAGTGATTTCTAGAAAAAAATCCTCGAGTACAATATACGTCTTTTTAAAAAATATATATATAGCAAAAAATATGTAAACCTAAATTGGCCTTTTTTTGTTCTCTCCAACATCTGTGTACAATGAGAAAACTTTTTCTCTATTCCGATCTCTGACTTTCTTTCTTGAATATGAAGAATATTGAGGAAAGAAAACTATTTATTCCAACAACATTAAAAGCACTGACAGTTAGTGGATATCATTTCTTGTCTTATTGCCGTGACACCTGCCAAGGGGCGGAATACACGAAGAAGGAAGTAAACGGCCAGTTCTTGAAGCTGATGTGTTTGAAGCAGGAAAAATGGTTTACAGGTCTAACGACTTTATCAGGGCTAAATTGCCGTGACTGGGTGAGAACGTCTTCCAACAGGGAAGGTCTTGTTGGGTGTTTCTGGTATGCAGTGGTTAGTATCTACCAAAACTAGTTCGAGGAAGGACACCTGTTGAGCTGGGGACGGGGTAATTGTTTCCCATTTTCTAATTAGTGTGGGTTGGGAGCGACGGCCGGTTCACGGTCCGATCAGAAGAGCTATTGCAGCACCTTAATGTTGGCTATGACAGAAAGATGTCACACCAAGCCATGTAGCTGCCGAGTGATCAGCGTGACCATGGTGACCCTGGATCTGCTGCAGAAAGCTCCCACAATGAGCAGGCGGACGTCATGTAGGAAGATGGCCTTACCTGATGAATCACATTTTCTTCTACATCATGTCAACGGCTGGGCGTGTGTGCTTTACTGACCTGGGGAGGAGATGATATCAGCATGCACTATGGGAAGACGGCAAGCCAACGGAGGCAGTGTGATGCTATTGGAAATGTTCCTCTGAGTGGAGACCTTGGGTTCTGAATTCATGTGAACGTATCACCTTCTTAATCATTGCTGCCGACCATGTACACCTCTTCATGGCAGCAGTGTTCTCTGATAGATGTGGTTCCTTTCAGCAGGATGACACCCCCTGTCTTACTGCTTCAAGAATGGTTTAAGGAACACAAGAGTTCCCAAGTGTTGGCTCGGCCTCCAGACCTGGAGGACGTGCTGGAAAAACAAGTCTGATCCATCAAAGCCCCATCTCGTCACTTTTCGGACTTAAAGGATCTGCTGCTGACATGTTGGTGCCCGATACCACAGGACATCTTCACCTTCTGTCATCAGTTGTCAGCCGAAGCAAATGTCTGTATTGTGTGTGAGAATTAACTCCTCTCACTATCCCTTTTGTCAAATCCTTTTAAATCGAATGCATTATATGTAATCTGAGGAATCAGTAAATCTTTGTCATCGACTCTCAGACTTGCTTGCTTTAGTGAGCAAATGGCACAAACAAAAACAACCTCCCAGGATAACGTTAGCGCCTTGAAATGGAAGCACGTATGCAGTTCGCTACCTCACAGTTTTTTTCACCCTATGAAATCTTAATAACTTTCCCCAGATGAGGCTTAGATCTTGGTCTCAGTGCAGGTATGAACAGGGACGCCTCGGTTGTTGTCGGCTGCACTGCTTCCACTTTCACAACTGGTTTGGTGGTAAGTCAGTCAGGAACATGGCTGACTTATCTTGTTGCCTGCAAGGCTTTGAAGCAGTTGCACAGAGGCCCTGGAAGAGGAGAGTGATTCAATTTTTTTTTTTAATCATGATAAAAGAAATACTCTACAGTGTGGTGGACTGTATTGTTTGTATTGTCTGATATTAGCCATCGTTTATCCAATGTTTTGATAACTCGCCTTAATTGACTTTCCAGCTAAATGCACCTAAACCTTCCTTTGTGCATTAATAGAAAGAAAACTTATAATCCTGCCATTACAAGGACATCACTGCCTCTATATTGTTATTAATCATGGAACAAAACGCTTCGTGTCCTCGCTGACCTTAAAACTTCTTCCAGCAGGTGCAGGTCACAGGAAGACCTCGTTCTCAACTTCACACTTTCACCAATTTCAGCAGTGTTCTGCACAGGAAAGAGTGAGAAAACAACCTATACTGGTTATGATTCTGTGTGAGGTTAGTGTGGCAGGTTCACCTGGTTTGTTTCCACGTCAATCTAGAGAAATACCAAATAATCAAGAGCCGATGAGATAAATGCATGTGTAATACAGGTGTTGATGAATTGACATCGTGACTCGGTACATTTTTGTGTTTCCAGGCAGAAAGAGGTTTTCTTTAACATGCAGCATGTGTAGCGAAGGATTTTCTGTGCGTCTGTGCGTCGTCTGGCTTTTTGTTGCCATGGCGCTCGATTATATGTGCTGTCTGGACTTGTGATTTTTGATTGTTTTAGGTTCATTTTCTATTCAGCGGTCTGGGAGTTTGTCCAAGGAGGTGATTTTGTATAATTTCAGTAAATACCGTTATGAGTGTGTTTTGTGGAACAACCTGCTGTTTTACTTTCGGAGCACATCAGAAACAAAATGAGGACTTTTTGACAGTAGGGGTGTAACGGTACACAAACCCACAGCTGGGATCTGGATTTTGGAGTCACATCAGAGAAAACAAATATAAGTGTAATTTTTTTTCTTCATTTGTTTCCAAAAGCTTCAGAAATGTCCCTAATTTACCATAAATCTTAGT